TCTATTTATTCCTGGTTCAGTTTTGGAAAGTTATACTTCTCTAAGAACTTGTCCATTTCTTCCAAGTTGTCCATTTTATTGGCATAGAGCCGCTGGTAGTAGTCTCTTATGATCCTTTGTATTTCAGTGTTGTCTGTTGTGATCTCTCCATTATCGTTTCTAATTTTGTTAATTTGGTCTTCTCCCTTTGTTTCTTAATGAGTCTTGCTAATGGTTTGTCAATTTTGTTTATTTTTTCAAAAAACCAGCTTTTAGCTTTGTTGATTTTTGCTATGGTCTCTTTAGTTTCTTTTGCATTTATTTCTGCCCTAATTTTTAAGATTTCTTTCCTTCTACTAACCCTGGGGTTCTTCATTTCTTCCTCCTCTAGTTGCTTTAGGTGTAGAGTTAGGTTATTTATTTGACTTTTTTCTTGTTTCTTGAGGTAGGCCTGTAATGCTATGAATCTTCCCCTTAGCACTGCTTTTACAGTGTCCCATAGGTTTTGGCTTGTTGTGTTTTCATTTTCATTTATTTCTATGCATATTTTGATTTCTTTTTTGATTTCTTCTATGATTTGTTGGTTATTCAGAAGTGTGTTATTTAGCCTCCATATGTTTGAATTTTTAATAATTTTTTTCCTGTAATTGAGATCTAATCTTACTGCACTGTGGTCAGAAAAGATGACTGGAATGATTTCAGTTTTTTTGAATTTATCAAGACTAGATTTATGGCCCAGGATGTGATCTATTCTGGAGAAGGTTCCGTGTGCACTTGAGAAAAAGGTGAAGTTGATTGTTTTGGGGTGAAATGTCCTATAGATGTCAATTAGGTCTAGCTGGTCCATTGTGTCCTTTAAAGTTTGTGTTTCCTTGTTAATTTTCTGTTTAGTTGATCTATCCATAGTTGTGAGTGGGGTATTAAAGTCTCCCACTATTATTGTGTTACTATTAATTTCCTCTTTCATACTCGTTAGCGTTTGCCTTACATATTGCGGTGCTCCTATGTTGGGTGCATGGTGACAGTATTCTTAATGAGAAATTCTTTTCATGAAATATCATAAAAAGCTTTAAAATTATGTGTTTAGATCTTTATCTTGGAACATTGTTGTGAGTTTGGTGGTGGTGGTTTAGTTGCTAAGTCATGTCCGACTCTTGGAACACCATGGACTGTAACGTGCCAGGCTCCTCTGTCCATGGGATTCTCCAGGCAAGAATGCTGGAGTGGGTTGCCATTTCCTTATCCAGGGGATCTTCCCTACCCAGGGGTTGAACCCAGGTCTCCTGCATTGCAGGCAGATTCTTTACCAACTGAGCTATTGTAAGTTTAGTTAGGTTGCAAAGCACTAATGCAGTAAAATTAACATAATGTGACCTTTGTTTTTCAAAAAGTGGAAATGCTCACAGTTTTTCTCTACTTAATTTCTCCAACAATACTGAAATTTCTGCAGCTTGCATATTGTCAGCGAATGTAAGATTGAGCAAACTTCTGTAGATGTGGAGTTTTTTGGCTTGTTTTTGCAGCATATCTTGGGTATTCTTAGAATTACAGTTAATATTAACTCTCTGCCACTTTAACCAAACCTTAACATGTCTTCAAAATTGGTATTTCAAAAATTACGCACCACAGGCAGATTTAGACAAATGCTGCTATTTAGGTTAAGACACTAAAGAGGTAATTTGGTTTTTAAATCTGTATAAGTACATGTGTACGAATTCTGTCCAACTACCAGTTAAATCTCAGGCACATTGCTTGATGCAGTGATGAGGAAATGTAAAAATTGCTTCATGGAAACATCTGACGTGTAACAGTGTATAGAACATTGGAAGTTGAAATGACCATAGTCAAGAGAGTATACAATCCAAAACATTTTGTCTTAAGTCACCTAAGAGAAGACCTAAATAGTAGGGTTACCTTTATGCTTTCCTTATTAAAAAGACATTGCCAAATGTTAGGAAAACATTTGTAAGGCGTGTCCTTATTAATTAAACATATCATGCTGTACTCTAGATTCTTGATCAGCTTAATTTCTTATCCTTTCTATAACTGTGGGCTTTCCAGGTGGTGCTAGTGATAGAAAACCTGCCAGCCAATGCAGGAGGTATGAGAGATGTGGGTTCAATCCCTGGGTCAGGAAGATCCCTTGGAGGAGGGCATGGCAACCCATTCCAGTGTTCTTGCCTGGAGAATCCCATGACACAGAAGCCTGGTGCGCTACAGTCCATGGGGTTGCATAGATTTGTGCATGATTGAGTGACTTAGCACACATAACTGTATTTCTATATAGTTTTAAAGTTTAGAATATTCTTGCTGCTGCTGCTGCTAAGTCGCTTCAGTCGTGTCTGACTGTATGACCCCATAGATGGCAGCCCACCAGGCTCCCCCTTCCCTGGGATTCTCCAGGCAAGAACACTGGAGTAGGTTGCCATTTCCTTCTCCAGAATACTCTTGAAGATAGGGGATTTTTCAGTGATCTTCAGAAATAGAATCTAAACCTTTAACCACAAGCATTGGAACTTGTGTTAAGTTTCAGTTAATGTTTAATTCTGCATTCAATTTAAAAAGATTATATGGGGATTTTCTCCAGTGATAACTTTATTACCTGGCCAGTAATCCAGTATGATAGATGAACATTTAACCGAACTAAAATAAATTTATTCTTTTAGAAAAGAGTGTAGATCTGTAAAATATGATAGTTACAGGATTTGGGTTTTTTCCCTTAAAGCAGAATCCATTTAATAGAGAAATGCAGACATTTTTCCTTTAGTGATACAAAGTTCTGAATTCCAAGTTTGAAGAGCTGTTGGTTTTATTTCATATTTTATATAATACATAACACATTTTTTCTAGTGCATTACATGTTAACAGATTACTTATTTTTAAATGTGGCCTTTTATTCCTCTGTAAAAGTTCTTAAAATGTATAAACTTGCCCAGAGCAAAATATTTATTTGAAGATATTACAATAAATAGGTATCCTTCGAAGGCTGAAAGTTAAATATTAACTGTCTTTCAGTTTTGTTGAGCTCAAATCTTTGGGTTGCTCTGTAGTCCACCAGAACTGCTACTTGAAACTTAGAATTTCAAAGAAATCTTTGAAGTACATTTGGTGCCGGATATGTGAAGTTATTTGATCATGCTTTGCAATGCCTTGTTGAGAAGACATGACATTGGGGAAAATTTTTTAAAGTTAAAATTATATATACTGTATGTGTCTTGAAGTGTTTTCTTTTAAACCGATAGATTATAAACCTCTTTATTTAAAAGTAGTGTTTCTTGACTTTTTAAAATTTGGATTAAACTACTTTTACCCATTGCTACTTTGGATTTTAATTGCCACACAACAGACATATTAGACCTATACCTTATTATTATACTTTCTTCTTATAAGTATTGAAATTGTACAAATTCTATAAAATATGCTTAAGATCATCTCTTCATATTAGTTAGCAAATTCAAGAGAAAATATTTGTCAAATAGTACTTTAAAAATAAGCAAAAGTAGTTCTGTCAAATGTAGTGCAGTTAACCTTGAGTATGAATGGATTGTACAGACTGGTGTACATGTTAGAAATAAGCTGTTGGGTAAAATGTTGAAGAGCTATATTTTTAAATAATAGCTCTTTTTTATAGCTATAAACAAGTTACATATAAATGTTGCTGTACCAGAGCATTGAAAATAAAACTTGTTTGTAATAAACTCCATCCCTGGTTCTCTATCATGAAATGTAACTGAATGATAATAAAGTGCTATTCATCTGCAGGTGCATTGCTTCTACTTAGTTAAAAGATGGTTGAAAGGACAGGAATTAGTAGCATGTTGTATTAGCCTTTTGTAGTGTATTTTGTCCTAAGCATCTTAATTTCCCTGTTTTGAATGCTAAGTAGTAAGGGTCTTGGTTTAGAACTAATACCCATCATGCATGTAAACGGTATGAAAGAGCTGCTTAGTAAGTTAACACAAAGTGTTCTTGTGTCAGTCCTTGTGGAAATAGATACAATACAAACATTACAGCTGAACCCACGGCAAACTCCATTAAGTAAAAACCTGGCCTCATTGTTCAGGAAAAAGTTTGAGTAGAATGCAAGCTCATTTTGTTGAATGTAATGTCAGGCTTTTAGGGACTGTATTGAGGGATAAGGTTTTGTTAAGTTGAGACCAATTCATTAAGTTTTATTGCCTGGTGAGAAGCAGTAATACTTTATTGTGAGACTTCATCAAATATTCATGGTTAAAGAGAAGTAGTAAATGTATTCAATCAAGTGGTCTTTTGGGGTTTTGAAAAGGATTATGAAGTCTGCTCAGCTGATAGTTTAACATTCATCGAGGTTGTTTAACAAGGGTAATTTTAATCTCTGAGTTTAATTTTGTTGTCCAGGCTTGTCTCTTTTTACCGTCACAAATCCAACTCTGTAAAAATTGTGTCACATCATAGGATGAGTGGATAATACATCCAGTCATATAATTTATGTATTTCCTAAGTGGGCATATTTTAAATATTATCTTAATTTTGAGTTTTGGCGTGAGGGAGTTAATGACCTGCTTGCTCATGGTGAGGTTGCCATTTGTTTGGTCAGACTCTAGCCTCACCTCACTACTGCTGGTGATCCTTTCATGTCTTGAATAATATACTTTTCTTGACACATGTAACTTAATAAGCAGCCATGTAAAATAATAAGCAGTCTTTTGTTTTGGCCAGTTCAAATTGTACTGAAGGGGTGTGGTCAGCCTTCTCTACATGATGTTAGAGATTTCTTTAAGGTTGCATTCATTCTTGTAGTTGATTTCAGGCTCCCCACCTCCTCTTTTTTAATTCTGTGTTAATCTTGTGTTCATCTCACATTTTTGTGGCAGTATCGTGTACACATGAAATTCATCCTTTCCCAATTTGCTGTGTTGACTTCTTTAGTTTAACAGTGAATTGAAGTTTTGTGAATTTTGTCCCTTTCAAAAAACCTAAGCATATTCGACTAGGTCAAAGTTATTAATTTCTGTGTGTGTCTTTTAATCACCATTCCTTAGGCAGATGATGTTGAGGGCAAAATTAGACAAATCATTCCACCTGGATTTTGCACAAACACAAATGATTTTCTTTCGCTGCTGGAAAAAGAAGCTGATTTCAAGCCATTTGGAACCTTACTTCACACATACTCTGTTCTCAGTCCAACAGGAGGAGAAAACTTTACCTTTCAGATTTATAAGGTAAAGATAGATCTAAATGTTCCCTTACTTAATTTGCCTGAAACTCGTATTCTGTTTTGATGTGTTATTTTCAGTGATTTATTCTAACTTCAGGAAACAAGTCTTTGTCGGCACTAAAAACAAAGATCTGTTTTGTATGTGTGTCTGTGTACACATCTTAATCTGAGACTTCTAAACATTTTCCCACAGAATAGTTTTGTATTCTGCAGACTTTCACTTACCTCTGTGATGAGTTTCACCTGACTTTTCCTGGCTTTTTCCCTAGGCTGACATGACATGTAGAGGCTTTCGAGAATATCATGAAAGGCTTCAGACCTTTTTGATGTGGTTTATTGAAACTGCTAGCTTTATTGACGTGGATGATGAAAGATGGCACTACTTTCTAGTGTAAGTACAGTTCTAAAGCAACAGTAGACCTTATTACCTCCACAAAGCCAGCATTTTAATTGTGGCAGCCCAATTATTGGGACAGTATAATGATATTTTTCCCAGGGAAGAAAAACTATTGTTTATGAGGCTTGAGTTTTCCTTCATTATGCTTTGGGAGACCTTGAGAATAGAGCCGAATTAAATGCTGTTGTCTGTTAGGGCTCTGAATGTAGGCTTAAACAGTAAAATGAGCTTTGCCTGTGTTTTCTTTTACTTGCCACCTATTCATCTTTATAATAGGCAAGTGCACTGAAGTGATGTAAAGAGGTCTGATTTATCCAAGTTGCTGCACACCAATTAAGTGAATTGTATATTCAGAACATAGCAGGTGTACCCATTGGGCCCTCACAGAGTAGCTTGCTGACACTGAAAATTCAGTCAGAGAATGGAAAAGAAAATGGACACTGCATGGGAGCGCGACTGTAATTGACCTGCTTGGCTTTCTGTTTTATCTGCAGATTTGAGAAGTATAATAAGGATGGAGCTACACTCTTTGCGACCGTAGGCTACATGACAGTCTATAATTACTATGTGTACCCAGACAAAACCCGGCCACGTGTAAGGTAATTGGCAGTATAACACGTGCCTTGTCTTTTATTTCAGAAGAAGGAACTGCTGAAGTTTCTAATACTTATTATAATAGTGTTGATTTGTTTTAAAAAATCACCATTATTCATTGGCTGTGTACTGATTTATTTCATTGTTCCTTTTGAAACAGTTTGGAAGATTAAATGTTTACAATTTTGAGTGTCTCAGTGATTTTTGGAATTCTTAAAGATGGATTAAAAAAAACTACACAAACTTTAAAATGTTTGTATTACTGTAGTGATTTGCAATCTGTACACTGGTCAGGTTGTAATATTTTAATATAATTTCTTTACTATAGTCAAATGCTGATATTGACTCCATTTCAAGGTCAAGGCCATGGTGCTCAACTTCTTGAAACAGTTCATAGATACTACATTGCATCTCCTTCTGTTCTTGATATTACAGGTATGTAAATTTTGTTACTGAAAGAGCGTTTCTAAATCTCTTCTTTACTAATTTTGATTTTGTCAGAAATAACTTTTATTTTAAATAGCAGCAGTCTCTTGCGGTCTTTGGAACTGTTTAAAGATGACTTAAGTTTCATTTTAAATCATAAGCCTTTGTGGAATTGGATTGTATCTCTGAGCATGAAGTGCTTAATTAGTTGAACAAATTGAAGATAATGAACTGAATGTAAAATGGGAAATCTTGGTCAGGAATATGTATGTTGCAAGTATGGTATGAATATTTGTTCAGTCTATTTCTCAAGCATTTTATAAAGTTGATTTATCTTTTCATCTAACTTTATTGCTACTGTTAAATGATTTGGAAACTTGGGAGATAAAGAAGTAATTACTAAAGTTAGTTTATATCAAAAGTTACAAATTGACACTTTCACTAGTTTAGTGACTTGTAAAATTATAGAAACTTTACACAATAACACTTCTTTTTAGCTAAGCTGAAAGTTGTTTAGCTTCTGTTTACTTATAGAGCTTGGACTTGGTACTACATGAGGGACTTTTTGGTGATTTTAGTCTGGAGATTAGGGTTTCCATAAGTAGTCTTTGTCCTCTCTAGTGGGTAATGTGCCAGCAGGGGTTGTTTCTGTGAAGCCTCTTAACCATTTTCTTCTGTCTACTCCAACCAATAAAGTCCTTGATACTTAGCACCAATTAGCAGATAAAGAATTTTATTTCTTAAATCTCAGTGAAGAGTCATCAATAATGGTAGCCTTTATTCATTGCACACTGAAGTCTCTAAAGAGAAAATGCTGAACATGTTAGAGGACTTCTGAATTTGAAAACTGGGTATCGGCCTTTATTTTCAGTGTTAACATTTCTTAGCAAATTACTAAAAATGACTGGTACATTTGTTCTCATTAAGATATTTCTCCTAGATTTCCATACTCAGCCTTTTTAAAACAAGGACAGCGTTTTCTCTCTGTGGTGGTTTCGGTTGTGTATAGATCCATTATTTTGCACATTTTAAAAGCTTTTTGGATCTTTCGCAGGCTCCAGATTTCCCTTTGCAACCTAGAATATTCCTTATATTGAGATGGCCGTTTGCTTAATTGACATATAGCCAGATATAGTAAAAATTAAAACCTAACCATTGATAGCCTATGTTACAGGATAAGTTTTTGTGGTATAATTGCCACCCATTTTCTTTTTTTAGCACTTTTTTTTAGCACATTATGCCTCATGACTTGCAGGATCTTACTTCCCAGACCAGGGATTGAACTTTGGCCCTGGCAGTGACAGTGTCGAGTCCTAACAACTCAACCGCCAGAGAATTCCCTTTTTTTAGCACTTAAAGTAAAATACTGGAAAACAGTTCTTTATATCATGTGCCATTTTCCTTTTGAGGATGTTAGTATCATAAGATATTTTATGATTTTAACACATCTTGGTTATATGATCTTACATATAGAATCAATGATTTATTTCTTCCAGAATTGCAAAGAGAGTTGCGTTTGACAGTAGAAATTCATCCTGGATTATTTTCAGTGTTACTAACCTATCAGTGTATATTAAGAGTTAATTAAATCTGTTCTTTAAATATTCCTTGTAGTACTGGAATATGTTACATGTCTTTTTAGAATTTTATCTGTAAATTTTTTATAATATGAAGAGTTAAAAGTTTTCTTTTAATGGTAGAAGAGTATTAATGTTGGTAGATGATGTGTTTACCTTGGGGGAAAAAACTCAAGTTTTGAGCCCACGTATCACTATCAATTTATATCCAAGCAAATTTCATCTTTTAAATGCATCACTTAGAAATGCATCACTTATGTAGCATAGAAACAAAGCAATTGAAGGATGTCACAGATTAATGGTGTTACCATTTAGGTTCATTTTCAGGCTGACACCTTTAGTTAAAGTGCTTAAAGATGGAGTGGTGACTTGGCCACTTATACTAAAATTAAGCTACAAACAAAATATTGTTAGTCTATAATGGCTTATTTAAACCTGAGTGGAAATTTTTTTACACAAGTTTTTAATTTATGTGAAAATTACAGAGAAGAATGTGGTGTGAGTTTTTTTAGATTCTTCTCAACTGTATTTCTCTTACCTTTGATGTGTTTTCCCCTAAAATTCTGGGGGGATATAAGTTACTTAAGCTTTCACCCATACTAAATTTTATTTTATATTGATATTAGCAACACAGTTCTTTTTTTCCAAACCAGTTCAGAAAGAGGTAGACTTGGATAAGCATGTGTGTCACTATTAGCACTTAAAAAAATTTTTTTTCAAGAGATGCTTGCTTAAGAGTTTGTCGCCGAGAAGGAAATGGCAACCCACTCCAGTACTCTTGCCTGGAAAAGTCCATGGACAGAGGAGTCTGGCGGGCTGAAGTCCATGGGATTACATGACTGAGCATGTGTGCACGATGGTGGAGGGAGATGGGTTTGTAGCAATAAAGTGGTAGAACTTAAAAACAAAAAAGTTTGTCGCTTAGTAGAGATTTAATTAAAGCAGCTTTACTGAGGTATGATCTCCATACCATTAAATTCACCATTTTAGGTGTATATATAGTCCAGTATTTTTAGTATACTTGCCTAGTTCTGTGGCCTGTTTCAGAATATCTCTGTCGCCATAAAAAGATTACCTCGTGTCCACTTTCAGTCAGTCCCCATCCCCAGTCTCCATCCCCATTCTCTTGTATTGAGATCTGTGATCCTTTTTGAGGTAAAGTTTGCATTAAGTGAGGAAAGTTTCTAAATTAATCTTCTTTACATGTGATCATACAGTTTTTCCAGCAGTTTGCTAAAAAGACTATCCTTTCCTCTGTTGAATTGCCTTGGTACCTTTGTTCAAAATAGGTCGACCATAAACGTAAAGATGTGTTTCTGAACTCTCTAATCATCTGTGTCTGTAGTGCTGCTGCAACCATACTGTCTTGATATGTTTATTGTAGTTTTATTACTGAGGTTTTGTGTGTGTGTGTGTGCGTGTGTTTTGCCTTAACTGTAATGTCAAGTTTAGCCTGTTAAATGCATAAGTTGAATTTGTGGAGCCTGTTTTGCCGGGGGGCTGTAAACTAAGCAGACATTTCTTCAAACAATTGATGAGTAGAGTTAGAAATGGGTACTGGCCTTGGCCAGGTGAGTGGGAATGGAGCAGAGACGAGGGACTTCAGAGACCCAGAGGCACACACTCCCAGAAGACAGTGCTGCTCTCAGTGAGCATCTAGACGACACAGACTAGGGCTGGTTGCTGCAAGCTCAGCATCAGTGGACCATGGGTTTGTTGATCTCCTTGGGACTCAAATACTGCCTCACCCAGCCTTTGTGGCCTTGCTTTTGCTCTCTTTGGGCGTCATGGCTCCAGTGGTAGCAGAGCCTTGATCTTTATGTTGAGTTTTGAAATCAGGAAATGAAAGTCCGTTGTGTTCTTTTCCAGAATTGTTTTGGTGTGTTTTCATTAAAATTTTTGTTTGTTTTCTATGTCATTGATTTCCACTTTAACTTTTATTATTTTCTTCTTATTGCTTTGAGATTAATTTACTCTTTCTAGTTAAGATTGAACTTAGGTTATTGATTTGATATCCTTTTTTTCTAATAATATAGCTATATAAATAATTAATACTTAAATATTATTATATAAATACAAGTACTGGTGATAATATAAATTTTCATAAATTGTGCTTTCATTTTATTCAGTTCATGTTTAAGTTTGATTATGATGTATTTAGATATGTAACACTATGTTTTTCCTAGTTGAAGCTTATTGAGCTTCTTGGATGTATAGATAAAAATTTTTTCATCAAATTTGGAAAGTTTTTGGCCAGGATTTCCTCAGCTGTTCTCTCTCTTCCCTTTCTTTGAGACACACATTACAGTTACATTGGTATACTTGAATGGTTTTAATTTAGGTTTGTGTCAGTCCATTTTACATTTTATAAAGCTGCAGACTACAAGTGAGGAAAACAAGGAGGTTATTGTAATAGTTGGAAAAAAACAAACACTGGTGGCAACACATAGGAGAAGAATCAGAATGTCCTTCATGTTTCTGGGTGACTTGCATAACTGCATGATGTGACCAGATTAATAAAGAAAAGACTGAAGAATTAGACAAAGTAACTAATTACATTGTTATGTTTATTTGGTGATTTTCTGTAGGTCTGCATTTGTTATTTGGTTTACTGTTGATTTCATTTTCTGTGTATTCCTAATCACAATTTCATACCAAACCGATGCCGTGACAGAATTTCACTTTACCACCTGAAAGCCATAGTCATATAATGTTACTTAATAATTACGTGTATATGAAGTGCTGCATAGAAGTATAAAGACAGTATTTAGTACATATAGATTGAAGGAATGACTGACTCAATCATAAAACTACCTTTAGCTCAGACTCTTTTTTTAATACAAATTTTATTGTGATATAGTTAACAAGTCATACAGCCCTCTTATTTAAAGTGTACAGTGTTTCGAAAACACGTTTACAGTGTAGCCATCACCTTAACCTAATTTTGGAGTATTTCATTCTCCCAAAAAGAAACTCAGTACTCATTAGCAGTCACTTCTTTCCTCTTATTTCCCTACCCTTTCAACCCCCACCAGTGCTGCATAGCCATTAATCTACTTTTTGTCTCTGTAGATTTGCCTATTTTGGACATTGGAATTGTACAATAAAATGACTGACTTCTTTCACTTGGCATAATGTTTTCAAGGTTCACCCTTGTAGCATCCATTAGTACTTTATTGCCAAAACTATTCCATTGTATGGATATACTACATTTTATTTATCCATTCATCAGTTGATGGACATTTGGGTTGTTTCCACTTTTTGGCTCTTCAAAATAATGCTATTATGAATATTGTGTACAAATTTTTGTGTGGACTTGTGTTTTCATATCTCTTGGGTACACGTATACCTAAGAGTGGAAATGGTGGAAAATCTGGTAACTCTGTTTCCCCTTTTAAAGAAACACCAGAAAACAAAACAAAACAAAAAAGAAACACCAGACTGTTTTCCAAAGTGCCTGTGCCATTTTATATTTCCACCAGCAAGTACATGAGGATTTCAGTTTATCCACATCCTTGCTGATTCTTGTTATTGTCTTTTTTATTTTAGTCATCCTAGTGGACAAGAAATGGTATTTCATTGTGTTTTTGATTTGCATTTCCCTATGGCTAATAATGTTGGACATCCTTTCATGTGCTTATTATGTGTATTTATATCTTCTTGAGAAATTCCTATTTAGATTCTTTGCCCATTTTCTAATTGGGTGGTGCATGTTTGACCTTTTCTTATTGAATTACAAAGTTTTTTATATAGAAAGTCTGGTTAAAGTTACATGTCATATATATGGACTTGCGAATATTTTACCCCATTCTGTAAGTTATCTTGTCATTTTCTTAAAGGTTATTACTTGAAGCACAAAAGTTATAAATTTTTATATAGCCCTGTTTATCTACTTTTTCCTTAGTTGCTTGTCCTTCTGGTTCTGTTATCCAAGAAACCATTGCCTAACCAGACGTCTTGAAGATTTACTCCTCTATTTTCGTTTAGGTCTATGATCTATTTTGAGTTAATCTTTGTGTATTGTGTGAGGAAAGAGGGGCCAACCAACTTCATTCTTTTTGCTTATGGAGATCCAGTTGTCCAAGTGCCATTTGTTAAAAGACTATTGTTTCCCTCATTGAATTGTCAAGGCACCCTTCTCAGAACTTAATGGGCCAAAAAAAAAGAATGCGCCAAAAATGTATGGGTTTATTTTAAACTCTCAACTCAGTCCCATTGACCTACATGTCCATCTTTATACTAGTATCACAGTCTTGATTACTGTAGCTTTGGAGTAAATTTTGAAATCAGGAAATGTGAGTCCTCTATCTTTTGTTCTTTTTTCAAGGTTGTTTTGGCTATTCTCATTTCCTTGCATATCATTTTAAGATGAGTTTGTTAATTTCTGCAATAAAAAAAAGCTGGCTGGGATTTTGATAGGGATTGCATTGACTAGTTGGTAGAGAATTGATACTGTAACAAAACTGTTTTATGACCCATGAGCTAGCTCAGACTTCAGCATTCTTTGTTTATACCATCTACTAATTAGGGCTCAGAGAAATGACATAATTTGCCTAAAGTCCTTCATCTATGAATGCCAGAACTGGGACTCAAACTCATGTTCTCTGACTATGCAGTGTTTTTTCTACCTATTATGTTTTGGTATCTTCCTTGTCCACTATTCAGTCTAATGTAAATAACATAGACAAACATAAAGGGAGATCTATGCTATTCAGATGCAATGAAGAAAGAATCAAAATCATATTCTCTAAATGAAAAAATGTTTTGTAAAAGGAAGAACTCTTTTTAAATTAGGTTAAAGAAGCATAGAAGACTTTGAAGTTTATTAGATTAAAATAAGGGAGTTATAAACTTAGCTTTGGAACCCTTAGCTATCAGAAAATGGCTTTTGGAATTGATTATCCAAACTTGAATCTCTTGTGTATACAGCTGCTTTAACTGAAAATAAAACTAAAGTATATATGATAACAAACTAGTCAAAAATTTATATTTGAAAAGGAGTTCTAATTTCACAAATAATATATATGTATTATTTGCAAAAGGATTGTACCTATAACTTTGACAAAGATGATAGTGCTATTATTTGACTTATAATCTTTCATATTATAATTTTTGTATTACATAATTCACTGAAGAATATTTGCCTTTCTAAGGTTAGTGTGAATACTGAGGTTGCAGATGATGAATAGTTATGCTGGGTAAATGTTATTCTTTTTTCTTTCTTTAGCGGAAGATCCATCCAAAAGCTATGTGAAATTGAGAGACTTTGTGCTTGTGAAGTTTTGTCAAGATTTGCCCTGTTTTTCCCGGGAAAAGTTAATGCAAGGATTCAATGAAGATATGGCAATAGAGGCTCAACAGAAGTTCAAAATAAATAAGGTATTTTTATTCTGTAGAAGGAAAACATTTAAATTTTGAAAAAAATCATTTAAGCATGTAATTTAAATGTTGCAAATACATTAAGAATACATGTGTAGGAAGTAGCAGTGGTTAAGAATACAGGCCCTGGGACTTTCCTGGTGGTTCAGTAGTTAAGACCGCATTTCCACTGCAGCTGGCATGGGTTTAATCCCTGGTCAGGGAACTAAGACTAAGATCCCACGTGCCAAAAAAAAAAATAATAATACAGGCCCTGAAGCCAGATTGCCCAGGATCAAATCTGGCTCTACTACTTACTCTTAAGGCATATACTTCCTTGTGCCTCAATTTTCTCATTAATAGAATGGAAAGATAATTGACTTCATGGCTACATTAAGTATAACAAGAAAATGATTATTTAAATTGGTAAAGTAGTTAGTGCCCCTGGAGATTATATTGATGGGAGGAGGATTAGAATAAAACATTTAACTTTCACTTTTTATACTTCTAGATGTATTTGTTTGGATTTTAAAGTAATAAATATCTTAAGGTAAGTACAGACAAATAATATAGGAATTCAGAGGAAATTATTATATTTATGTTAGCAAGAAATCAGAATATTTCATAGTGGGGATACATTTGATCTTAGCCTTGAACAAGGGGTAGGTTTTTGAATATAAAAGTATGAGGGATGAAGAGTATTCCAGTAATGAGGACTAGCACTTAGTACCGTTGACCTCCCCTCCCTTGGCTTCTAAGACACTACAGTTCCTAGTTTTTCAATTAACCACTGTGCTTATCTTTTTTGAGATATTGTCACTGGCTTCTACATTTTTGTATGCTCCCTAAATAGAATTCTTCCCCAGAGATTTTTTAATCCAATCCTCATTTCTTCTCATTCTACTTAATTCTACCTGAGAGAACTCATCTACTACATCTGCAATCCAGATTTTCCTCCTGAGATCCAAAACTGTGTCAAACGTTCACTGGTCACTGACCTTCAACAACTTAATTGAATTGAAACTTTCCATCTTCTCCTGCGTAAAAACACTTTAATGGGTTCATGGTTTTAAGATAAAATACAATTTTATAAATAACTTGTATCTCAGACTGTATTAAACCTTTAATTAGCTAGAATTTATTTAATAGCACTGCTTTTAAGAGAAAGAGAATATGAACACATTATTATTGAGATTAAAGCTCCTCAGTATGGCATACAGACAGCATCATCATCTGACCCGTGCCTGCTCAGCTTCCTCCCACTTTCCCATATGCTTTGGCTCTACTGAGCCTCTTGCCCTTTCCCCATTGTGCTACAACTTTACTCCTTTAATGTACCTGTGTATCAACTATTCCCTGTGCCTGATACCGCCTTCTCCTGTTTCTTCATCTTTGCCTGTCCAGGTAGTACATTTTTCAGGCTCAGTTCAGGTGTTTCTTCCAGAAAGTTCAGTATTATCTTAACCTATGTATACCTGACCTCTTCCTCACTCCCAATAAATACATAAGTGGAATGACAGAAATAGGAAAACTATAGGCCTACTCCTTTGGCTTCAGTGTTACCACAACTTCCTGATTTTTCTCATATATATTTTTTTTTTTTTTACTGTGTTTCTTTGTCTGCTCATTAACTGGCACTATACTACAGGGTTCTGACCTCCCCCCGCCCCCACACCCCCAGCTTCACTGTGTATGTTTTCCTTGGACTGTCTTAACAGTTAACCAGTCTTAAGGTTTAAACTCTTGCCCTGTATACTGATATTGCTTAAATCCTTATCCTTAGTCTAGAATTTTCTTCAGATTTATATGTTCTCCTGCCTCATAAATCTCTCCTACCCTGTGACAATTTCACTGTCATTCCATACCCTCCTCCACAGTCAGTCTTCCTCCTCTTTGTTTCTAGAATCCTTGTCCCCTTAGTAGTACTGTCTGTGCTGTCTCAGTTACTACCATCATCATTTTTTGCCTGATTTAATAACTGAACTTTCTGATTGGTCTCCTTACCCTTCTTTTGCTACCATTTTCATGTAGCTGATTTACTCTCGGTATTTTTCATTTTGTGTCCCAGCAGTGTTAAACTACTTCTGCACATGTGTACGTGAGACATGCACACCCATATAGTGGCCTCCCCTGTTTTAAGAACAGCATGCTCCCTTTCCTTTAAGATTCACTCAGGTTTTATTCCCCCAGGAATCCTTCTAACATCGTTCCCCCATTCTCAGGCTGTGCTGCCATAATGTCCTGTGCACATTTCTATCATGAAATTAACCATACCTCATTTGTGTTACACAGTGGACCGCTTGCCTTCTTGCAGGCAGAGACTGTATCTTTTATTGCTTTTTGCCTGGCACCAAGCACAATTTCTGGCTTGTGGCAGGTATTCAATATATGATGTGTGCTTTTGGGAAAGTGTTACTATTTGTAATTTGAAATGTTCATGTTCTTCTTTGGTTTATTAGCAACATGCTAGACGGGTTTATGAAATTCTTCGACTACTGGTAACTGACATGAGTGATGCTGAACAATACAGAAGCTATAGACTGGATATTAAAAGAAGACTAATTAGCCCATATAAGGTAGGACTTTGAAGAGTCTTAAAGATTATATTCTTGTCACTGTTGAAAATGAAGAAGAAAATCTAGCAAATGTCAATGTGTGGGAGAGTCCAAATCATTCTGCTAAATTAACTTTCACAAAAGTAAAAATATTCTTCCAGTTAGTTATAAGAATTCTGTCATAATTTTCCAGTGTAAACTATAAATGTTTCCATTCACTTAAAAACTAATCCCAAGGATAGTCTACTCATGGTTATTTTTTTCATTTGTATGCATCTTTTAAAAAATTGAATGCCCAGAATCTTCCCTAACAAATTATCTTGTTTGTTTTCTCCGTTGTTTATTTGTCCCTATCTTCTGCTAACATTCGCTGCTTTCTTCCTAAATACGGCCTTGGTTGCCTTTTGTAACCCCTCTACTTGACCATGGCTGAAATCCCAACTTAACTCTTGTTCACCTGTTTTGTCATTGTTCTTGCTCCTTTACCTCCTGCTTTTTCCCATTTCCTTTATTTTCCTTTAACTCAAAAATATTCCACACCTAGATCAAGTCTGGCCTCCTCATCTTTTGGCCATTATTAAGGTAGATATTGTCCATACCAACTTGTGTGGAGGAAGATTTGTGATTCTTGTAGCTGGGCAGTAATCTGATTGGATAGAATATTCATTTATTTATTCAACAACTAATTCCTGGGTGCTGCATTTGTATATACTATACCTAGAGGCTTATTATGCAGCACCATAGTTGGGAACACGAATGACAAATTTGAATCTGTCTTAAGGTTTAAGGGGAAAATCAGTTAATAATTAGTAAGTAATATATCAAGTGCATAGTTGTGATTTTTATGTTTTTTCTAAATTAATCCAAGTTTTATTTGTCATAGATTCTGCTTTATAGAGCCAGTCTTGAATGTTAATAGTATATAGAGTCACACTACTCCTCATTGAATCTCAGCTTTTTTCCTTTATCACATCTTGTTTGCAGTGCAAATGTATTTCTTAATTTGTTATAATTCTAAAATAGCACATTCTGAATATAAAAATATTTATTTGCCTGAACTACAAATCCTTGTGTCTGGAATTCATATATTTTTTTCTTCATAGTGCCATTTCATTAAGCAGTTTAATGGAATACTTAAATTTAATCAATTAATAAAATCAACTTAATTGATTTTCTAACTTAGGAACTACCATCTGCATATAACAGGTTGTAATAAATTATAACAACTATTCCCCAAAATTTGTCAGAAATAACATTTTATTCTTTATCAGTCTTTTATGTTTGTCAACTCAGAAACTTCAGAAAATTTGTAGAAATGGTACTTTCCAAAGATTTTGATCTTTAATATTAACTTGTTAGCTGGAAAATTTCTTCATGATGAATGAAATCGGGTATATAGAACAATATAATTAGATGTTAGCATGACAACATTTAAGAGTATTAAAACTTTTAGTAATTTATTAAATTATGTATCAGATACTTGTGACATTTTTATATAGGCAGATGCAGCAAATAAAAGAAAATTTCTAAGTATAAATAGCAGTCATGAATTTATGCCAAATGGGAATATCTATAGCTCATAAAAGCAAGTATTGTCTACGCTTAAGAAGAATAATGATTTTTTTATATATTATTAAGTATCCTCACCTGTCTAGCAAGTTCACCTGATCTAAAAGACGACCAAAAACTGGTTATTAAACTATTTAAATTCTTAACAGCCAAAATCGGTATCACCATCCTTGCACTCATACAAAATATTAAATTCTTTAGATACTTGCTCAAACCCTATTTATAGTATGCTAATTTTAATGAGTTTAGTTATCCAGTATTCTCTCTCATTGAGAAAACCAAGAAATCTTGATCTGGGTTGATAGCCACAATGTGATAGAAAACCTACCACAAACTTGGTAAAAGCCTAGAAATAGTTGAATGTCCTGTATGCATGGGAAGAGTTAGAAGATTTCTTTGTTGAATGTTTCCAGATGGTTTTCTCCAATTTGTCATTCCAAGCTGATACTCATATACTGTGCTGTGCTGTCACAGCATTCTCAAATGCAAAATTATATTTAAGAATAAAGTAAAATTGCTTAATACTGAGTGTGACTTTGAATTTTTTAAAAGTCTTTAAAATATATGCCAAATGGGGAAAGTTTGGAATCTAGAATTTATGTTTTACTTTAACACATTTTATGATAAGAAAGTGTAATTTAGATTGTCATAAGTTATTACGGAGGAATGGAATTGTTTATTGATAGCAAAGTCCACCAATTCTGTGCTGCCTTTTTTTAAGGGCTCAAATTTTCATATCAGTTTAGTCACACTGTCCCACTAAGAAATTTTTGGGGGTAGATATTAGAAGTAGTTATACCGTACTTTAAAAGTTCTTTAAGTACTGATAATTTATTTGTATCCATGCCAAGAAGGGATAAAAATAATTTGTATTCATTTTAAAAACACAAAAAAATTCTTTAGTACAGCAGTAATTTTCAGGTGTTCAAGAAAAGATAAATTTGAACAATTTGACTAAAAAAAAGAAAAGTTGGTGCCGCTGCTTGGTTTTAGCATTTAAATTTTCATATTGTTTCATAGGTATATTTTAATTCATAATTGCTTTGCAAGTATAAAATTTAGAATCATTGTTATAATAGCATTGGATTTGGAATCAGAACACTCAATTTTGAGGTCTAGTTTTACCTTTTACAAATTGTGTGTGTTGACAATTTATTAAAATCTGGGTATTAATAAATTTAAATATATTTAAATATAAACAAATATTTTTATTTAAATGTAAATAAATTTAGTTTAAATCAGTAAACTCTAAAATGGAAGTACTTCCATAGTAAGGAACTGAAGAGAAAGAAATATAATACAATGTGCATGTTTTTAAAGATAGCCTTTTGGTAAGTCTTAGGACTTGTTACTGTCTCCACACTATTATTATTTTTAAATTCTTGCAAAAAACCTTATTTCTGTAGTTCACAAAAGAGACTGGTTGAGCAGATAGAAACTAAGGCCCTCTTAGAGGTGATGGAATTTTTGAGATATTTGTAAACCTTCTTGGAACCTCTGAAAACTAGGCAAGAAGGAAGAGTTGTTTTTTGGACCTTTTAACACATTGTATAAATAACATAAATAAACTGACACTAATATGATTTTTAATTTTTCTGCATTAATTAAAATTATCCATAGCCTTAATCTATGAAGGAATTAACTTTCTGTTTGTTTTTGGAGGGAGAAATTTCTTCTGAGCCTATAGGAGGTCTATTGCAGTCTTACAGAGTTCTGTCTTTCAGTATTTCATTTGTACTCCCAATGTAAGTCACTTGCTGGATAGAGGTGATCCCCAATCAGTTTATTTTTTTAAGTTTTTTTTTTAAACACAGTTTAAAAGATGAATTTATAATATTTCATACATTTACAAAGCAGTATACATAGTTTTAGGAATATTAAAATCAAGAAAACAAATAGCTCAAATAACTTCTTTTAAAAACAACCATAGTTTACATGCTCATGAGGAACTTCTACAATAGTTTCATAGTTTTCCATAAAGCTAGTACACGTATTTTTTATTCCTAGGTACTTAGAGCTCTTGAATTTAATTCAGAGATGTACTGCCATGTCAATAAAAATTATAATAGAAATTCTGACATCCATCTGAAAAAACTGACAATGAAAAAAAAAACTGACAATGAAATTGAAGGTGGCAGTGAAGGGGGAGATAAACTGGGGAAGTAAACACTCTTAAGAGATCTGTTGTTTTTCTTCAGTCAGTACGTTGTGCCTGACTCTTTGTGACCCCATGGACGCAGTACACCAGGTTCCCTGTCGTTCGCTATCTCCTGGAGTTTGCTCAGATTCATGTCCATTGAGTCAGTGATACTGTCTAACCATCTCATCCTCTGCTGCTGCCTCTCCTTTTGGCTTCAATCTTTCCCAGTATCAGCGTCTTTCCCAATGAGTCAGCTCTTCGCATCAGGTAGCCAAAGTATTGGAGCTTCAGCTTTGGCATCAGTCTTCCCAATGAATACTCAGGGCTGATTTCCTTTAGGATTGATTGGTTTGATCTTGCAGTCCAAGGGACTCTCAGGAGTCTTCTCTAGCACCACAGTTCAAAAGCATCAGTTCTTCAGTGCTCAGCCTTCTTTATGTATGGTCCAGCTCTCATATTGTACATTTGTCAGCAAAGTGATGTCTCTCCTTTTTAGTACGGTGTCTAGTTTTGTCATAGCTTTCCTTCCAAGGAGCAAGCATCTTTTACTTTCAGGGCTGCAGTCACCATCTGCAGTGATTTTGGAGCCCAAGAAAAAAAATCTGTCATTGTTTCCACTTTTTCCTCTTCTATTTGCCACGATGGGACCAGATACCATGATCTTAATTTTCTTAATGTTGAGTTTTAAAACAAGTTAGTAATTAAAACAGTATGTCACTGACACATGATTCATTCTGTGGGTTATTTGCAGCAGAATTGATAGTTAATATTTAAGAATTAAAATGATGGTTCTGTTGTATATGAGAATTTAATATGATTGGAGGCATATTCAAGCAATGGGGTTAGATTATTTTATTAATGTTATAACTGGTTAGCAGTTTAGAAGAATAATTTTTTTTCTTATTACATACCATGATAATTTTTGGATGCATTACCTTTTAGTTCCTGACCTGTTTCCTTAATTTGGGTGCTGCCAAGAGGTAGTTGTGCCTCTTGGCAAAAAAAAAGTAACTTTCACAGCAGAAACAAAGCATTTATTATCCACATGATTGAAGAGTAAGGAATATACTGTCCTTCCAGGCCTTGGGAGTAATAAATCTGAATTTTCATCACTTCTCTAGAACTGCTGTTCACAGTGTGATTAGAAGATCAGCAACATTGGGAATTCTCTGGTGGTCCAGTGATTAAGATTGTGTACACACACACACACACACACACACACACGTGCAGACACACACGTGCAGACACACACACACACACACACACACACACTAAATCAGCAACATTAACATCATCCAGGAGCGCTTTTTAGAACCGCACAATCTCACCCCACCCCAGACCTACTGAATGAGAAACTGCATTTTAATTTTAATAAGCTTCCCAGTTGATCTTTGTGCACATTTAAGTTGGAGAAGCACTGCATGTCTTATATTCCAAAACTATTAGGGTTTCCTTTGAGAGACACTTACTAGTTTTTAGGATGGAGTTAAGATATTGTTTTCAGGTTTTTTTTTTTTTTTAATTGTATTTGGTAGGCAGTTATATAGGAATTCAGAATACAGACTTCTAATTAGATCATCAGGGGTTGGAGCCTGGCTTCTCGGCTTACTGCCTCTATGACAAGTTATTTAACACCTGCAGCTTTTTTTTTTCTTTATCAATTGAAGAAAGTTATATTACCTATCTCATAGTTTTTAGGATTACATGAGTTAATATATGTGATTTCTGATCTCTATATAAAGTTAACTCTCTATTAAATGTTTAAATGAAAGAGGATATAATCTAGAGCAGTTTATCCAAAATGTATGAAAGCGAAAGTCGCTCAGTCTGTCCAGCTCTGCGACCGTGGACTGTAGCCTGCCAGGCTGCTCTTGTCTATGGAATTCTCCAGGTCAGAATACTGGAGTGGGTAGCTGTTTCTTCTCTAGGGGATCTTCCCGACCCAGGGATTGGACCCAGGTTTCCCACATTGCAGGCAGATTCTTTATCGTCTGAGCCGCCAGGGAAGCCCAAGGATACTGGAGTGGGCAGCCTATCCCTTCTCCAGCGACTCTTCCCGACCCAGGAATCGAAACAGAGTCTCCTGCATTTCAGGTGGATTCTTTACCAGCTGAGCTACCAGGGGAGTCTAAAATATATGAAAGTTTCTCATATTACAATGTTTTATATAATGCAATATTGCCACACACCTAGGAATCTTGGAGTCATTCTGCATTCTTTCCCCACATCATCCAATGTTTTCTTTCCTAAATCTGTTCTGTACCTTCCATCTCTGCTGTTACTAAGCAGACTTGGTCTAGGCTTTCATCATCTCTTGAATTCTTTAACTGCTGACTTGGTCCCCTCCAGTCCCATCCTCAGCATACTAACCATATTATTCTGATTGTGACCTGTCCAAAAGTTGTTATCAGCTTCTTAGGGTGGTGCAAATCTGTTTCCTGAGAAATGGTAGTTTCCTTCTCAGTGAAATGGAGAGGGTTTAATAAGATAATGTATGTCTATAGACAGTAGAGACTCAATAAATGCTAATTAATATTGTTTTTTAAAGTGTGACAGTTTTCGTCTTATCTTCCTGAAACTTTCCCAACAGTTTATGGTAAATTAATATGTGGTCCATAAATACATCGCTGGGTAAGGGAACTCAGAAATGATAGTGGCAGAAGAAGCCAGTTTGGAATTAAGATTAATGTTATTAATGATTAAATTGATGAAATAATAGCACTTAATCTCAGTTGTCTTTCTTCAGTTACAGTACCTTATTTATTAAAGAAATATTTGAGTATCTGTACTGACCAGTTCTTTATTATGCTTTGGAGAGGGGGCTGTCACTCACATACCTATATTTACCATTAATTGATACAAATTCCATGTCTTTTGGAACCTTCTTTTTAGAGGGTTGTAATTCACATTAACATTATGTTTAGGCTTCCTTAAAAATGTATGGGATAGATTTGGGCATATTCCTGCTACTATTATTTTTAACACTGGAGACATATTTTTTATATCAGCTTTCTTAGGCTAACCAATAATCATGTTTGTTACTTAGAAAAAACAGAGAGACCTTGCTAAAATGAGAAAATGTCTCAGACCGGAAGAACTGACAAACCAGATGAACCAGATAGAAATAAATATGCAACATGAACAGCTGGAAGAAAGCTTTCAGGAACTTGTGGAAGATTATCGACGTGTCATTGAACGCCTCGCTCAAGAGTAGAGGTTATACTTCTCTGTACAGAAAGTTTGCAAATTTCTGTACATGTGTTGTGAAAAGCAGATGATGACTTTAATTTTAAAAAATCTTGTAACATTTTGCTTACATTAAAAGTTATCTATCTTTAGTTGAATATTTTCTTTTGGAGAGATTGTATATTTTAAAATACTGTTTAGAGTTTATGAGCATATATTACATTTAAAAAGATACAGCTTCTGAAATACCACTGCAATTACTTCCCTTCTTAAATAGTGTAATAAATGCTTAGTTATGATATGTTAATGTGTGCTGATATGATTCTTGAATACTTATGATTAACTTCTTCCATCTTGTTAAAAACCTTTAGGTTTTAAGCTTTTATTATTCCTCCCACACTTTGCTTCTAAGCTTTTAACACATTTCTTTAAGGTCTTCCTCGTAATCTTGGTCTTGCTATGTGATTTTTCTAAGTAGAAAATGTTCTTAAAGTAGAATTGTTTTAAATAAGCTATTAATCACTTGTTAGGAGTAGGGTGGGTAAGAGCGAGAAGGGAAACTAAATACAGCCTGAAACCTAGATGTTTGGCACCAAATATTAATTGAAGATAATTGAGAAGTTGCCATAAACATTTTATAAATAGTAAGATACAAATCAGTTAACAAAAGTCTAGTTTACACACTGTTGTTGAAATATGTAAAATGAGGTTGTGATTTAATGTAAGATTATCAAGATGTTGAAGTCTAAGAAGGGAAAAAAAAAAGATAAATTGCTTAATATAGTCCTTATTTTATTGAAGTAGAACTAAATAAGTTGCTTGATAGTCATTAAAAGTAAAGCCTTGATTTTTTTAACGTGTGCCAGTAAGCCAGGTATTGTATGACATCAAAAATGGGGTGTAAGTTGAACTTTACTTTTTTTTTTTTTTAGTTGAACTTTACTTTTAAAATCTGATTTGTTCAATGCTCAAGGCAAAATCCCATCTTGGACAAGCATTAACTTGTCCTTCATCAGCTCTTTTTCATCAGTAAATTCTGTCAAATACAGAAGCAAAGTGAGTAGTACCCTCTGGACACAAAATAGTTGTGGCCACCAGCATACCAATGGCACTAGAGCCAGACCCTTAAGAGTTTTGCAAATGTTTCAGTCTCATCTCAGAGGTTTATATACATAAAACTTGATTTCTGAGAGTACCTACACGTACCTAAGTCATACAGATAGAATGAACCAATGCAAAGCCCTTCTGAAGCTATATGGAAAAAATGTGTTTTCCATCTGAGTTTATTATAAGATTTTAAATATTTTAATTTGGAAATTAACAATTGATGCCTAAAAATGAGCTCTGAGGAGAAAAAATCAGTACAATCTGAATAAATTATCTTTCAACATCCTTCTTTATGTAGAAACCAGAAAAAGTCAATGTGATACCAGTTTCTGTAGTTTTTTTTTAAAAAAAATATTCTGTGGTTAAAGGTCTAGTTTATTAGCATTACTCTTTCAGACTTGAAAGGCTGTACTTTCATTTTGAGTTAGACGAGTAAGTCTGATATAAGATCTTTACTTAGAACAGGATAGTTAAATACCAGGATAGATACATAGAACCATGTATGAAGCCCAATGCAGCTACCTTTTGGGCTTAGTGGTCACTTCTTACACTGTGGTAGCAGCCTTCATCCCTTTATCATCCACATATACATAGATGTACAGTATTTTATTTGCTGCCTTTACCTTTTTCCCTTCCTCCCCTCCACTACTATTTTTTCCCATTTCTTCTCCAAGTTGCATTTTCTCTACATATAATATCATGTTTCCTTTCAAAACATCAGTGAAAAACACTGATGTAAAATGAGGTTGTACTAGACTTGTCTCCAGGCTTCCTCCCTGTTCTAATATCTGTGCTTATCCTTTTTACATCTTTTCTCATCACTCTTGAGCTTTTCTACTCAGATGTGGATATAGATGTAGTATATATCTAAAATAATTTTTTAAAATAAATCACAAAATTCAGTTCATACCTGAGTTACTGTATAAGAGGAAGAGAAAAACCCACTATATGTCCCTGTTTCCAAATTGCCAGGGCCTCAGCTTGCTGTACCAGAGTCTTGTCTACTCTGAAGATTTATCTGATCCACCATTATCTTGTCCACTAGAGTTTCCTCACAGCAAAGCCTTCAATGCTGTATCAGAGAAATAAAGAATCAACAGACCTCAGAGGTCAGATGACTGAATTCTTCAAATTCATTCTTAAGTTCTTTTTATTAGAACTTACAAGCCAGTTTAAAAATATTAAATGCTGATTAAATAAGATACCCATACTTCTTCCAAGTGAAATTATTTTGTATTTGTATATTATCTCTGTACACATTGAACAGAGTAGCATTTTCTTTTTAACATTTCTAGTGTTTAAAAATGGTTCTCAAAGATGTACAGTATTTCAAGTTGAGGTTCCATATTAAACCATTTGCCTAGATTTGATTTTTTCTTTTATTATTACAACATTCAAATGAATTAATATCTTCGTGTGTGTGTATATACACACACATATATGTATCCATTAGGTATCCCAATTCCTGGGAAGTACAGTTAACTGAGTCAAAGGGTAGGACTATCTCCATGGTTCAGTTATGTAAACATGCCATATTTTCCAGAATGCTTTGTAAATTACAGATATTAATGTTTGTACTGATCTTAACAGAATTTCAGTGGTATGGTATGTTGGTTTTGTTGTCTCCACAGGTATAAAATCTCAAATTTGTATTCCTTTTGCTTAATGGGAAAGCTGAATACTTTTCCATATTTTTGTGACATTTTTTCCCTTAGGAATAGGAATTATCCATTTCATTTTTCAAATTTGACTTTTAGGGGCTACACTGTCATTTTTATAGATAGACAACAGATCCAGAAGTTCACTTGCCTAAGGTCATACTGAATTAGTGGCAAAGCCAGGACTATAATACCTGGCTTCCACTCCTCCATTTCATCTTCTATCAAGTAGGCTGACCAAGTCGTAAGCATGCCAACCCCTACTAGGCTCTTCATAAGTGGTGCTTTCTTTTATTGCCATCTGGGAAATACCTCAGTTGCATGTTTGACCTAGTCACAGGACAAATACCCCAACTGTCCTCTGTTCAAAACCTTAAGTATCAGGAAAAAGGATGTTTGTTTATAATGACCGAGATTATTGGTGCCTCATTTGAAGCATGGCTTGAAGTTCCTCATTTCCTCTCAACATTTTCAGTTATTCAACATCTACAACTTTTATGTTTCCATATGCCTTTACATCTTTATTGTAATACACATTTCATTCTCCTTGTATTATGCATTGCAGTAGAGTCACACAGCACTTTGAATTTACTCCTTGACTTTAGGCAGAGCTATCTATATAAAAAGTAGTATGCACATAGTACAAAAATGTAAAAGTGCATACTGTGAAAAGTTCCTTGCCCCAAACCTTCAGAAACAACTGCTGTTTTGGGGTTCAGTGTTTTTTTTTTGGCTGTACAGCGCTGCCTAGTTAGTTCCCCGACCAGGGATTGAACCCACGCCCCCTACAGTGGAAGCACTGAAGTTAATGGTATCTCGGAAATCATTAGAGTTATGGCTGCATGGTAGCCATTGTACAGATATGCTATAAGTTACTCTACCAGTTCCCTATTACTTAGGTTGTTTCCAGTATTTTCCATTACAAACAATGCTGCAATGCATGCACGTTCTTGTATATGTGCTGTGTGTAGAGATTAAAGTCCTAGAAATCATGACCTTTAGTCTGACCTCATTCTTACAGTGACTGTACTACTGTTTACAGCAGTTAAAATTATTAACACCAACTAAGGTTACAGATGCTTGATCCTGTACCAGTCTAGAATTAGCTGTGTAAACAAGAGCATTTTGGACCTCTCCAACCATCCTCCTACACAGCTAGAAATATGAATTATCTTAAAGGCACAATGATTTGAACACTTAGGCATAGGCCCATGACTTTCTTTTTGTCCCTTCCTTTAGTCTTGCTTAGCTCTTCTCAAACCTTATCATCCAGAAGAACTGCTCTCCAGCAGGGTTTCTCATCCTCAGGACTGTTGGCATTTTGGGCCAGATCACTGTTGTGCTGACTCACGTTGTTCAGTCTCTTAAGTTGTGACCCCATGGACTGTAGCCCTCCAGGATCCTCTGTCCATGGGCTTTCCCAGGCAAGGATCCTGAAGTGGGCTGCTATTTCCTCGTCTAGGGGAATCTTCCCTACCAGTGATGGAACCTGCATCTCCTGCACCGCAGGCAGAGTCTTTCCTGCTGAGCCGCCAGGGAAGCCCGCTGACCCAGGTACTGGCTGGTTACGAGCAGCTGTGGCTTCTACCCCTGGACGCCAGCAGGACTGCCCCCACCTCCAGCCGTAACAACCATGCATGTCTCCAGATCCTGCCACATGGACCCCAGAGGGGCAAAACCACCCTTGGCTGAGAACCACTGCTATATGGGATTAAATACTCATTGACATTAAGCACTGACTTTAATAATGTAATATGAACACAGAATTCAAAATAAGTAACAGTATTTGAGAAGTAAACTGCCCTCCTTTCCACCCAGTCACCTAAGTCACTTTTCCAGAGGCAATTACTTTTCCCAGTTTCTCTTTTGCCCCTCAGAGTTAATTATCAGTTTGCAAACATCCATCACTTTGTTTCAATACAAATGGTGATATACTACATGCAGTACTTAGAATCTCTTCCAGTTAAATTTAACTTATCTTTATTAGTACATATCAGAATACTTCAATTCTAAACATGCTAATTCTAAACAATTGTTTGATACTTATTCCATAGTTTGGTTTCAGAGTCAGCTATTTGATATTTATTCCATAGTTTAGTTTCAGTTTGTTTAACCCAATCCCATATTAATGGACATTTAGGCCGTTTCTTATCTTCTGCTCTCATAGGCAGTGTTGCAGTGAATGTTCTTGTGTGTACTTCATTTTGTACATGTGGTGGGGGTATATATGCAACATAGTCTTGGAATCACTGAGTGGAAAGGCATGGACATTTTATACTTGGTAGATTTTGCATACATTTGAGACAATAGAGAAATCTGAATATGGACTCTTATATTAGATGATATGAGATTTTGTTAATTTTATTAGTTGTGATCATGGTATTGTGATGAGGTAGGCAAATGTCTTTATTCCTAGAAGTCACATGCAAAACTATTTAGTGACATGCAACTGACATTCAAATGGTCCAGAAAAAAAGTATGTGTAAATAACAGACACACACACACAGATATTTGTACATAAATAAAGCAAATACGACGAAATTCTTAAATTATTGAATTTAGGTGGGAGGGATATACAGGTGTTCACCATTGTGATTCTTTCAACCTGTATGTTTTCAAGTTTTCAAAATAAGACTTGGGAAAGATATTGCATATATGAAGTAAAAACAATACTATAAAGTAGGAACAATCAGTGAATAAGGAAGAGTTCTCAGCAGTTTAAAATGAGCGTGTTATATAATTAAGGCAATGGGAAATTGGGATATAAAGTTGAAGAAATTTCCCAGAACATATAAAGAGAAAATAGGAGAGAAAAGAGAAACCAATGTAGGAAATCTGATGGCTGGCTTATTTTCAGAGAGGAAAAGCAAACAGAAGGACGTTATCAAAGAGAGGGAAGACAGTTCCTCAGAGGTGCAGGCATGAATCTTCAAGTTAGAAGACTTGACTGAAAAGTTGAGCAGAATGATCACTAACGGTGATGGAAAGTCGACTGTTTGCCAACCACCTGCAACAGTGAGAATCTCAGTTCTCACAGTCCTCAGAGGCACACATGGTATGTATCCTCCTTGAGTGAGGACTAGGGAGATTATTTCGCCCAAAGTCACACAGCTGGGAGGGGACAGACAGCATGTGGGTCCAGGCAGTATAATTCACTTTCGTTTTTAACCACTATACCACTTACCTAACAGGATATACATGTACGCTAAATTATTTCAAAACATTGAGCATAAAAGTTCTAGATTCTTTCAGAGGGAAAAACACAGGAAATTTGGGAGAGAAGTCAGAATTTAAATAGCACCAGCCTATCAATTATACTTCATGCTGAAAGACAATGGACGATGAATTCAAAGTTCTGACGGAAAGTTATTTTCCATCTAGAATCCTATACGCAAGTGTGAAAGCAAAAGAAAGGTGGTTTTAGAAATCTATGAAACAGAAAACTTACTTCATAAACTTTATAATGAAGTTACCAGTTGATCTATTTCAGCGCCATGAAGGTGAAATCAAAGAGCATGTAAGATGTGGAGGACAAGAAACAGTAAAACATATCCGATCCCAATGAAATCTGAGGATGGCAACTGAATTACATGCCTACAAAAGTAATTGGTCCAAATTAGAATAGGAAATTATGAACTCCAGATAAAAGAAGTGTAAAGAAAATGAGAGTCTAAATATAATAAAGTATAATTGGCTGGCTCTGAGCAGTAACTAGAAACAAAAACAGTTCAAATTGGTTGAATCGGGTCAGGTTGGGAGACAGCAGGATGGGAGACTATTGCTTTTTGTTGTAAACTTTATTATAATTGCATGTTTTTAAAAAACATGTGTTACTCTGATATAACATTTTGTTTAATATTACTATATTGTTCAAATAAAATAGAACTGTAAGCTAAGGAAATTTTAAAAATAAATTTATCTGAAGCAGATAAGTAGCACCTTTTTAAATAGACTGTGCTCAGGACTTTCACAAAGCAGAAATTGCCAAAAGACAGTGAAGAAGTTCTTTTTTTGGAAACTGATGCTAAAAGGAAGCAAAGTTTACCAGGTACTTTATTTGGCTATTTCAAAAGCAAACAGTCCCCACCCCTGACACACCAGCCCTGTGAATCCACACACACTAAATGTAAAAGCAAAGCTTTGAAATTTTTCATGTCATAATTTGGGGGGCTTTTCATTACCCTGTGGAGAAATTTAATGCCATAAAAGTGTATCACATGAATATCTGAAGAGCTGTTGTGTGTAAAATGCTACAAGAAATAACATAAATTTCTTATAAAAAAATTTTTTTTAAAGACCTCCATTGTTAAAATGTACCCAGGCTGGAGAAGGGACGAATCTTCTTCCACTGAAAGGGCCCCACTGGCTTCACCTTAAAACTAGAAGAGGCAGAGAAATTAGGTGATCTGTGAAGCCCTTTCCAGTTCGTCAACTGTATTCTTCCTCTTCCAGCTTCATAAAAGACCAGTTGGAAAATGTGCTTTGGTGTTCACCTGGACAGTTCTTTACAGATTTTTCATGAATTACATTGGCAGGTGAATCTGCACGGAAGTCTCGGGCTGTGCACTGTGCTTGCCTGGCTCGCTGAATCCCCCTTTGTGAAGGCTGCGGGGCCACCACAGTGAGGCCTGTTTGCTGTCTGCAACTAGAGCAGCTGCCGCCTTTCTTCCTTTATCCTTTCTCCGGCAAAGGAAAACGCGGTGATGTTTGTGTGTGCTTCAGATGAGGAGAATGCTCTCCAGACAGGTTATTCTCTGGCTTAAAGTGGATGGGGGAGCGCAGCTCAATGGGAAGAGAGGTCGAGGCAGCATCTGCCCCCTTGTTTGTTTCAACAGCTTCCGTCTTGAATATAGAATTTGTTGAGTGAGAGGCGAGCAGAAGTTGAGAAATGCAGTTTAAGCGGTGGTACATTTCTGCCTAGTTTGTCAGCCAGTGCGGGGCATGGGGGCGGAGAGCAGGGGACAAGAAAGGGACGCACAGCTAGTTGTTTCTATTATTAAATTCCTTGTTATTTCATAATCTCCACCTCGAAGATTCTTACTGCAGTGTATTCAGTGTAACTGGTGACTAACCAAGGAGTACTGTTTCATGCTTCTAGGCAGGAAATACCAAAACTGTAAATATTTTCAACCTCTGATCTTAGTGGTCCAACTGCTTTCTCTAAGAACTGGTCTCACAAAATCCTACAGGACCATATTTTACTGAAACACACTACAGCAAACAGAACCATAAAACCAGCAGAAGAATAAGATGAAAAAATATGAGAAGGTGACCAGGAATGTACCGTTATTTCAGGAAGGAAAAGGAAAAACAGTAAAAGGAGTCGTCATACAGAAGGGTGTAAATATTGGGAGGAGAGAAACAAAGGCGCAGTGAAGGCCAAAGGAAAAAAGAATGCACAGTAGACAGCAACAGAGACAGGTAATGAATACTGTGTATTCCTGTCCTCTTGAATATGGTTTGCATAGTCTGCTGCTTTTTATTGTATACAGATGTGTGACTAGTCACAGTAAAAATAGATATCTTCCCTTAGAAAGTTCAGCAAGTGGTATATGCACAGAAGGAAATCTGGACAAATAGGTGTGCTGTGTGCTAAGTTGCTTTTAGTCATGTCCAATTTTTTGTGACCTGATGGACTATAGCCCACCAGGCTTCTCTGTCCATGGGATTCTCTAGGCAAGAATATTGGAGTGGGTTGCCATGCCCTTCCAGGGGATCTTCCCAACCCAGGGATTGAATCCGCATCTCTTATGTCTCCTGCACTGGCAGACAAGTTCTTTACCAACAGTGCCACCTGGGAAGCCCTTTGGATGAATATACATCAACTCAGTAACACTGATTACCCAGAGACAGCTTTTCTGGGGGACTTCTACTTTCTGTATTTTCCATTTCTGTGTTTTTAAAACGTTTTTAAAGAGCACATGTTACATATATGTGTAAACAAACAAAAAAAACCAGACTTTAAAAAATTCTAACAATGAGATCGAGAGCATTTTCCTTTCTCTTTTATAAATGTGGATTCGAGATGCCAAAGGAAGCAGTATTTCCCTTTTACCGTCATTTCTGCAGGAAGGATTTCAAACAGGTGCAAGTTTGCTGAGAATTTATTAGTGTTCAGCATTTTTCTCAGTTCTTGGCAGCCAGGGATAGCAAAAATCTGTGACTCCTCACACCTGGTATTGCTCATGTAAGGATTATAGTCTCAAGGTTACTTGCTCTTTCTTTATGGACAATTTTGTGAGCATGTTAGTCTCAGCTTTCCAATTAATTTCCTAAGAACCAAAATAACATCATAATCTCCTTGGAGCCAAGTATGCACTTAAGTATTTATTGATTGGCTGATTGACTGATCACTAAATTCTCTTGGAAACTTTTTGCCTTTCTGCCTTAATCTGCATGGATTCTTCATTCTCCAGAAGCCTGTAAGCAGGTGCTACTTTTCAGAGCTTACTAATTGAGAATAGACACTAGTTGATAATGGCACATATTTTTATTTAGATAAACCAACTTTCCTTAGAGCCAGTGCCAAGAAATGAGGTCAGGGAAGCCCTGTCGCTTCAGATAAAACTCAGCAGCCACTGTGAAATACATTTTGGAGGCTCCTCAAAAAAATAAAAATAGAACTACCATATGACCCAG